ATACAGATATGAACGTTACATCTGTTGATATTCATAACTATTCAATAATATTCACAGATTTCAATTAATTCAAATTTTTTCATAAAACTTCACATTTTTCAAGACATTATATACTTAACGATTAATAATCGTCGAATGAAGTCTTTTTTGTTTTGCCACATCAATTTCGTTTCGTTAAAATGTTTATAATATTTGATAATTAAGCTCATTTAACATATCATGTACTTTTCAAGAGACAAAACTGATGTGATATGAACGAATGTTTCATTCAACGATTTTCAATCGTTAAGAATATAATGTTTTGGAAGACGTGAATATTAATGAGTTCTATATTTATAACAGAAACACAATTAATGATGGATAATAGTGAGTGACTTCAAATAAATTAATTTATGACTAATATCTTTATGCTTTTTATTCATTATTTTGAATAAAAAATTTTGCTTGAAATACAATGTATGATGATCACCAAAAACAGAGAACATCATTAGGAATATAAAATATGTCTCATAATAATTGAGAATGAATTGTCAACGACATTTTTCTTCATGTGAGAGATTGAATACTTATAAATTTAACCAAAGGCTTTTGATTTTTCTAAAATTTCAGTTCTCTATGTAGAATTGATGCTGAAATATATGAATGATATATTTCGTTTATTGTATATTATAAATATTTCTTTCGAAAATTTCTTCGATTTTTGTGCATATTTTTCTAACTGTAATGATATATTAAACACTTATGTGAATATTTTTGTTTAGTGCATTCCATACATTTTAGTTATTCATGCATCAGCATCTACTAATTCTGCAATAATCTGATGTGATGAACTATGCACGACTAATACTTCAAATTATTTTCAGACGATTTGAACTCAATTTCAATTCATTCATGATCATTTATTTTTTTTTCGTAATTAGAGATAAAATTTATTATTAAATCATTCTCTCGTGATTGTTTGAATAATAAAAATATTACTAAAGTTTAGAGCTTAGTTGAATTAAATGATAAATGATAAAAATTTCAGTCTTCTACAATAAATCAAAGTATATTAAAAAAAAAAAGTAGTTCTATTTTAATTTTGCATGTATAACTGAAATTTTCGTGCCGATAATCATTAACAATAAAACATCATTAATGACTATGATTCCATTTTTATTCATAATAAACAATAACTTATGAAAAAATAATTAGAACGACGAAGTCAATAGACAGATGAAGGATAAATGAAAAATGAATTGACGATATAAAGTCGAGTTTTTTTTTCTTTTTCTTTTGACAAAGTTCGATATATATTAGTAAGTAGTTGTTGAAAATAATCAGATGCTTGTTTCTTTTTTTAATGTTTCGTTTTATATTGAGAAACATGTTTTGAAAACAAAGAAAAATATGTTTTTCTTTTTTTTATTATTTATTGATAGAGATATATTGTAATACGTTCATCATTTTGATTTTTTTTTCTAATATGAGTTGTTTAAATTTTTCATGTTTTAATGCTATATTTGTATTATGATCTTTAATATTCAGATATTTTTTGTCATTAGATCATCAAGTTTGATTATATTTGGATTATTTGTTAAAATTATTGCAGTTGAGAAGAGGTAGAAATTTTGTAATATTTTTCGATTCGAATAATCGTTCATAAACAGAAGTTTATTCGATTTTAACAAGCTTGATGTACTTCTGAAACTTATTTTTTTTAAATTTTTGCATAAAAAGATTTGATGTTCGAATAAAATTCTTGAGAATTTCTATGTAAATCCACGTTCTTTATTAGCAAACAGAGTTATGATGGATTCGATGGAGGCGAAGGATATGTAAAAATTTTCATTATCAAAACAAATTTGCTAATGAAAATGATGATGCGTTGCACACATTGAATGATAATAATGATGAAGTATGATGATGATGTTTTTTGAACTTTTAGCATTTGCATTTGGGCTATTGTGTATTTGAGAATCAATAAAATTATTATGATTGATATGTAAAACACCATTGGATATATTTTTCTTAGTAAAACTACGTTGTGATAGATTCTGAATGTTCGTATAATTGTGCATTTGATAATTAGAATACAGATACGAAATTATTATTAATAGCTAAATATCCCAGAAATAGTGAAAAAAAAATAAATATATAAAATGACGATCATACTTTGTATAAGACAAAACATCAAATGATTAATTATAAAAGCAAAAAAATAAACGCTTCTTTTTATTCATTCACTTTTTCGATTAAATAGCAAATTCTATAACAACACTCGTTCTATAATAGTTTGCTCATTTCGTCAAAGAATGCCTTTGAATAGTGTATATCATAAATGCATTTTCTAAAGTCAACACGTAGTAAAAATAGACACATATGTTGGATATTAACGCAGCATGCACAATGCATAGAATATTATTTTTTTTTTGTTTTTTATGACCATATTAAATATGAAGAACTTGGTTATAAATATATACATGAATAAGAGAAAAAAAAACAGGACGAAAAGAAAAAAAAAGTAGTTTTCTTCTTTCTCAGCAATTGAATTATATCTTAAAAATGTAAGTATCATCACATAATCAATAGATTTGCAAATGTAAAATTCTATTCGTAGAGTTTTTGTTTTTACTTCATAGATTATTTAATCATTAAAAGTTAATATTTTGTTAAATCGAATATTATTAGATTTTGAGATAAGTAAAAAAAAAAAAGTACATCGATATTTATGGTGGTGTTGTCATGTTGATTAGTAATTAATGAGACTAATCAGTGAAGCAAATCCAATATGTTTGTGTAGGTTGACCATCAAAGTTGCTATTTTTTTTTCTCGTATGTTTTTAGCTTTAATATGTAACACAGTATTTAACTAAACATTTGATATGAATATAAATAGATTGATTAGAATCGATAGCTTGTATTTCTCCTGATGTTTCTGTATAATGGCCGAGAAAAATATACATGTTTTTTTTGTTTTTTTTCTCTTATTCTTCTATGTTTTATCATAATTTTATGGTACTGTTTTTTTTTCTATTATGCTTAGAAAGAAAATAAACGAGATAGAGAGAACGAGAGAAAACAATTGATGCGTATTATACATTGCTTTTTGATATGGTCGGAGTATTTGTACTGTTCAGAACAGAACAAAAAAAAACTATTTTTGCTTATAGGCTCGTTTTAGCTATAATTTATGCTTGATTATTCACTCTTTGTACGAACAGCTTCTTGTAAGCTTTTGCTGTCTGATAGTTAATTTACTTTATCATAAATTACTACATATTAGTCTATTTAATGAAATCTTTCATTCTTTTATCATTAGACAAGTTTGTAATTAGTATGCAACTTTATTACTACCTACGTTTCTAGCATACATTTTTAGACTTCCGGTAATGTAATTCATTTTTTTTAAAGTTAAGTAGTACTATAATCAATCAAATATTTAGCGTAACAATTTATATTAGTTTGTAAAATAATACTAGTCACAAATACGATTGTTTTCTAAATAAGTACCTAGTCATGTAAGAAATAATATCAAACAATTAAGAAAATTTCCCTTGAGTATGAATAGATTATTTACCGTAACTATCCTGGAGATAATCATGTATATTATATATATATATATTTCCTTCCAAAATACGATATTTACTCTTGACAATTGATTTTTAATACAAAAACGAAAAAATCTTCATACATTTAAAACTATAGTTTATTTGTGTTATCATTAATCATTATGATAAAATCTAGGCTAGTAACTCTTCCTTTTGTTTATCAATATATATTATCGACCACGCTTTCGGAAAGAATACGTACATACATAGCTATTATAAAGTAAAGGTGCGTACCTGTTTAAAAAGAAAAGGAAGAAAAAGAAAAATGTAGAGTCGCTCCTATCGACAATGACAGGAATGAAGATATGAATAATAACAACTAACACTAACGCAATTTGACTCGCTTTCTTTGTCCCCTGTCAGCTTTTCTCCTTGAGCCCCCCTCCTTTCAAAAAAGTCACTTTTCATCAAAATGATCGAAATTAAGATAAATACAGGGGAAGATAATCCGTGATCTGTTCTCTCATAAACGAAAAATATTTTTGAAGACTTCCGCCGTCCATTACTCAAAAAAATAAGCCGTTTTTGAGAAAAATCGAGAATTTTTTTTCATTTTTTCGCAGCACATGATATGTACAATGTGCAACCCAGATTTCTCAGTCCTGATCCATGTGATGTATTTAAAATTACATTGGATAGAAAGATCACGTCAAGACGCAGGGCATCACAGAGTCCTTTGTTTAAAATAAGTTTTTTTCTGTAATATTATAAGAAAACATCTTCGTGGAAAAACCGCCATTTTTTCCGAGTTTTTTGAGTCATTGAACTTGTGGTTTCTTCTTTCTGCTCAAAAATTAAGAACTTAAAACAACGGACTCTGTAGTGTCCTGCGTTCTGACATGCTCTTTCAAACAAAAGACAATTTATTTACATCACATGGATCTGTACTAAGAAATTTGGGCTGCCAAATGAACTATTTTTGATTCTTGTTTGCCAATTTCTCGCTCAAACGTCATAATCTCGGACTGAAAATTTCATATCATTTGAACGTTCCTAAACTGAGATTAATTTTTGAGGGAGTCTTAGATAATTATAGGTTCGATATGATTCGATTATTAGTAGTTTATTACTTCTTTTATACTTATTATTCTAATCATCAATATATAAGAATATAATACAAAAAAAAGAGAGAATGTATTGTTTTTAAACTCGATCGAATTTAGATACGAAAATAGTTGTTTTTTTAGTTGAATGAGTTTTTTTTTTTTTTAATAAATAATTTTAATTTTAAAAGATTAAAGAGTAGAAAGTTGATTTATGCTTTTCTTTTCTTTTGTTTTTTGACAAAAGAAAAAATCAGAAAGAGAAAGAGACAAACGACAAGCAATCTGACACGAATTTATTGTGGTTTTAGTGTATTTTCTTCGTTTAACTGATATGTAAACATTTGTACGCAAACTCATCTGCAAAATGTCTACCGAATTTACTAATTTAACGACTGTTAGCTGTCAAAGATTTAAATGTTCAGGTCGTGGTCTTATATTACCGTTTGGTAAATAGTTAAATCTTCTTTATTATATTCAATTATTTGTGTCTATTTTTTTTCAATAAAATAGCTATTGAAGCATGCATGTCAATATCATTAAGAGCAGTGTTGTACTTTATATTTTTACTTTATCTTTTTCTTGGTATTGCTATTATTGCTGATATATTTATGTCGGCAATTCAAACAATAACAGAAAAAAAGCAAAAAATACGTTATCCAAATCCAGAAAAACCAAAAGAATATTTAGCTGTTCAAGTTCCAATATGGAATGCTACAGTTGCTAATTTAACATTAATGGCACTTGGTTCAAGTTCACCAGAAATTCTTTTATCAATTATTGAAATAGTTGGAAATCGTTTTGAAGCAGGAGAACTTGGACCTGGAACTAGTAAGATATAATTTTTGTTTAGTGATATATTAAAATTGAACAACCAATGCAGTTTGAAGTATGAAAAGTGTATGAAAAGAAAAAAGTTTACTTGTTTTTTGTTACCATTTCATCTACGTTTCTTATTTATATCCCAATAAAAGAAGAATAAGTGTTTGTGAACTTTTGGACAGAAACAAAATAGAGATCTGCAGTTTTCATCATTCGAAAGAAGAGATAAATCTGCATTGAATCTCTTTTACATATTCATGACAAAGCTTTATCAGAGTGTTGAGCTAAGTTTTTGAAAAATATCATGTTTTCTAGAAATACGTAACTCAACATTCTAATAAAGGTCGTGATAAATATGTGAAAGAAAAGATTCGATGCACATTTATCTCTTCTTTCGAATAGTGAAAATCACAGTACTCATATATATAGGAAGTTAAAAAAAATGAATTGGCGTGCATTGGATATTGTTTAGAAGATAAAGTCTTTCTAAATTAAAAACTTACATGTCTACATATCCTATGTAAAAATATTTATAACTAATATCATTATTTTAGTTGTTGGTTCTGCTGCTTACAATCTTTTGATGATCTGTGCTTTATGTATTGTATCGATCAAATCTCCTGACACAAGAAGAATACAGTTGTATAAGGTTTTTATGGTAAATATTATTTCTTTTATATTGAAATATAATAAATAATAAGAATCAAAATAGGTCACATCATTTTTTGGATTTTTTGCATACATATGGCTATTCATTGTTTTATCAGTCATATCAAAAGATGTTGTTGATCTTTGGGAAGCTGTCATTACATTTCTGCTGTTTCCAGTAGTTGTTTTATTAGCTTATATGGTAAATGCATGCCTATACAAAAAAATAAACAAACTTCTATGAACTTGAATCAATTTTTCTTTGTTTGTGTTTATGATTAGGCTGAAAAGAATTTTTTTGCTGCAAAAGAAATTGACATGGGAGAAGAAGAACGAAAACTTATATTAAGTATAAATTCATCAATATTATTTTACTAAAAACTAACTAAATATATTTCATATTTATATTTAGAACCATCCGAAGTAGATCCAGCTGGTAATGTACGTATGTTTCGTCGAGAAGAACTTCTTCAATTTTTACGTGTAAGTAAATTGATTTGAAATGAATGATTTGAAATTAGAATAAGTTTTTTTTTATCTTATAAAATAATAAATAGGATCTTGGTCAAGCAAAAGATTTATCATTAGAAGAAAAAGCACAATTATTTGCAGCTAAATTAAGTGAGAATATGCCTCGATCACGTATGCAATATCGAATACAAGGTGTACGAATGCTTACTGGTAGTAAATCTTTATTTCCCCATTTATCTGGCAGACTTCAAGAGGTTTGTAAATCAAAAACAAAAAGAATGTTTTTGCTTGTTTTTCTTTTTCATTTTCTACACTTAACTGATTTCTATAAACTTATTAACATATCTATATAAATATTACAACAGATATATACTGCAATGGAACAACGTCATTCAATTGAAAATGAACACCAAACATCACGAATATTAGAAGAAGTTGATCAACTACCAATAATTAAATTTACTACAGAGACATATGCCGTTATAAAAAATGATTAAAAAAATTGATGTTACAGTTAAACGAATGGATCCGATTAATGTCACTACTTAATTCAGATGTCTATAATCACTTACACATATAGCGATAAATACCTAGGCATAATACAATGCAATATTGCACAGTATACTCTATGTACATATACATATGAACTTTTCTAACTTGATATCTACGTCTTCTTCTTCACTTATTTAAATGATTTTTATCTAATAGTTCAGAAATAATTCTGACTTAGCCTGGTTCGTTTAGATATATCAACAAGCTGTCAAACAGCAGTTACTTGATGGAACTGTTTCACCTGACAGTGAAAATGAGAATCAAAGAGAAGTATCACCAAGGATTAATATTGATGATGATCAAACAATAGCCACAATTGAGTTTGCCTCATCTAACTATGCTGTACTTGAACGCGAACAGCGTGTAACTGTCGATGTCGTCAGATACGGTGCAACTGATTCTGTTGTTCGTTTTCGGTAGGTCCCTTGAATGTTTAGTCTTTTTTGTCAGTGTTTACCCTTTTTGTTACTTGATGTTTTTTTTTCCTAAATATCCAAAAAACCTTCATGTTTAACATTGAGTTTTCTGAGAAGTATTTACAAAAAAAAAGGAAACAGGCTAAAAACTAATTTCTATAAACATATGCATTTTAACAAATTCTCCCGTGCACAATCTCTACTTGTTCAAGACATATATATAGTTATATTTATGTTGATATTATTTATTTGTAGACTTGA